CTTTATAGAAAAATCCCAATATCATGTTGAAAGCCCAGGCTTCAAATATGGAACAACGAAAACATGATGAACTGGATTTTGTTCTGACACTTTCTTTGTTTTTCAGCTTATGACATATCAAGGTAACTGGCAAAGGGCACCTGCTGATCAGGAGAGCTTGTTAGCTAAGGTCAAGCTTCTTGATCCTTCGATGTCTGGAAACTTTCTACCTTATTGAACAAATATCAATGAATAATCTGTTACCTTTTCAATTTATACAATGTCACTAGATTTCGGTAATGTCATCTTTTCAACCTACAAAGTACAATATTTCATATATTTGGTGGTTGAGGCATAAGGAAACACAAGTTTCCATTTTTGTTGGCTTTTATATAACTTGAAAAAAGAGAAGCTCAGTATTAATGCAGATGCTGAAATGGTGCCCTTGTGTAGACTGGATGTGTTGCACTTTAATCAAATACAATGCATTTTATAGTCAAACAAATGTACTATTTTGTTTGGCAAAAAAAAAGATATATAGGCATACAGAACATTCGGACAATTTCTATATAATTTATGTCAACAAAAAGAAGAAAAATTACATAAAAACCGAATCACAGTACTTTGTCAATCATTTGTCATTTTTAATGAAACTTATGTAAAAGGGATTTCTGCCCAAATATAATATATATATATATATATATATATATATATATATATATAATAAAAAGGCTTAAACACTAATATTCCATGGTCATAATTTATTCCATTGGAATACGATCCAATTCATCAGATCTACAAATTCAAAAAGAAAAGTTGTTTTTTCTGTTTTCTTTTTGAATTTGTAGCTCTGATGAATTGATCGTATTTACAATTCCAATGGAATAAATTATGACCATGGAATATTAGTGTTTAAGCTTTTTTATTATATCCTTACTCTGTCCTGGACATTGAGTTCTACCTGGATTCTATCCTCTTGAATTTTTATTAAAAAAAATATACATGTATGTGTATGCACCTATGTATATATATTTTGCATATGTATGTATATTTACCACTAATATTAGCTAGCTCTCTCTCTCTATATATATATATATATATATATATATATATATATATATATATATGAGTGTGTGTATATATATATATATATATATATATATATGTGTGTGTGTGCAATTTTTATATATATTTTTTATATATTATATAAGCATGGTACTTATAGGTAAGTGCTCAATTTCAGTGATAAAGCTATTAAAATCCAAATATATAAAGAAAAGAACAGTAAGATATATAATCCGGTGTTCTTATAGATACTTTTATTTTTACAAAATAGTACTCAATGTAAATTTACAGAGCATTAATATTATAAATTAATTGATTTAAAATATGTTTTTTTCGCTTTTTTTTTTGCGATAAAAAACATATTGTAAATCAATTAATTTATTATATATATATTTATATATATGCACACACATATACACATGATAATATATATTTTTATATATCAAGAACAGTATTGGGGAAATTTTATGACAAAACTTTTTCCACTTTGTTATATATATATATATATATATATATATATATATATGTGTCACCACAAGAAAAGCAATAAAGTCACCAAGCTGCAAGCTCTGTTAGAAAATATGAGGAAAAAACAAAAAAAAAACACTATTAAGTAGAGAGAACAATAAAAGAACAAGAATTAAGAAGACAGAAAATGACTGACATTGCATTTAAATTTTTGAAGATCAAAATCTTCTCACTTAAGATTTAATAGCTGACAAAAATTGACCTTTAACCTCTTCTTACTAATAGATAAAATTATACAATTATGATACAATTGAATTCAGTTATGAAACAGAAAAAATATATTTCTCTTCCTTGATATCATGTTAAACCATGCTAATAATAATCTAAAAATAAATGTCTACCAAAAACTCACTAACAAACAAGATCTCATAAACTGCTACTTAAATCACAATGACAAAATAATATCTGGAATAATTATAGGTTTCTGCTTAAAAGCACTTTCAATTTGTTACCCTCAATATGTCCATGGTGAAAAAAAGTATACATTAAAGATAGTTTTATCTCTTCCAATATCCTAATTACTTCCTATATAATGTAAGAGGAAAGCTTACAAAATCAACAAAAACAACAGCGAAAATAACACAAATAATATTGATAAAACTTATATGGCTCTTATATGTCATGCTACTTCAGGATGTTAGTGATTATGACTCTATACAATTTTGATTGTTATAAGTCAAGAGTTTTCTTATTAAAGTTCTAAACAAAATTATTATTATTATTTATTTATTTTTAAAATTTAAAGGAACTTCCTATTTTGACTTTCTTGATTTAATACTGAAAGAGGAATATCTCTAGTCACCATTCAATTTTCAATCAGAGACTAAAAGTTTCACAGCTGATAATCAGAAACTTGAATTTAAAACTATAATGAAAAAAATACATTGAAAATACATTTAAACTCCTTCAATATCATAATTATTTCCTGTATAATGTGAAGAGTAAAGCTTGCAATATCCACAAAAAAATGAAAATAACACAATTGATAAAACTTGTAAAATGATTGATTTTGTTTTTTATGGCTTATCAACCCTTTGCAAGTTATTTAAAGCCAGAAAATTTTTTAGATTTAAAATTTTTTTGAAGATAATGAGGTTTTACTGATATAAGTCCTAATAATTAACCCATAGCTGGGGGACAAGAGTTGGATTCATGCCTCTCCTAAGAGTATTTGGGCATAAGTGAATATAATGAACACAACTGTAATTGGAACTCAGCTACCTGATTTCCAATTCTGAGTCATTATCTATTACAGCACCTTCACATATAAGTTTACAGCACCTGTTGTTCCCAAGCAGTTACTCATCTAGTTACTGACCAGATTCAATGTTGCTTAACTTTGGTAATCATATGAGTACCTCATCACATAGTACTATCTACCAACTACAACTACTAATTGCTACAAGTGAACTTGACTTAAAATCAACACACACACATAACTATATATATATATATATATATATATTTATATATATATATATATGAGAAAATATATAGAAAATAGGAAAGAACTGGTTAGGTAAATAATCCAAAGTTCCTTAGTATTTTAGTTATTATTTTTTAAAAATAGTGCTCGATACAAAAGTAGAGCATAAATATAATTATTTATTTAAAAAATATGATAAATAAATCTCCATAGGCACGAATATTCGCCCTAGCTGTTACCATGGAAATTTTGATTTCAATTATTGAAACACGTAAATTTCAGAAATACGTTATTCCAAAAAAAAATTTCGCTTGAAGATGGAATAGAGCTTACTTTAACTCAATTTAATTCAAATAATTATATTGAAGTTTTTGGCTCTTGTTTTGAAACATGAGACCTCTTATGTCATGAGTTGGAATCATATTTTTAGATAAATAAATATATATATATATATATATATATATATATATATATATATATATATATACATATATATATATATATATAATTTATTAAAAATTATTAAGATAAATAGTCATTTTCTTTCAACACTTCTTGTGTCTTATCAAGTGATGGTGCTAAACATTTTAACTTGATAATTGGGTCCACTCATATAGTGAAAACATATGTAAATAGTGAAAAATGGCTATTTTTATTGCTTTCTTTCTTATTTTTCGTTGATCTTTCAACCAATTTTCATCAAACTTAACAATTGCTTTATAAATGTATCCTCTTTTACATCCCTGGTAGCACACTGACAAATTGAATTTCAAAAACTCGTAAATAATTGTGCTTTGAAGTGTTTGAAATTCAATTTGTCAGTGTTGCCTGTTTTACCTCTTTAAGTCCTCAGCTAACTTCGATTGAATAAATACAGACTACTTCGGTTATATCAGTAACTGCATTAATTCAAAATGTTTTTTTTAATGAAAGTACTTTAAAGTAATTCAAGAAAATAGACTGTTACATCTAAACATGATGCTGGTTTTGCTCCATTCTAATTGAATGCTTTTTTGATCGACCAGCTGGGTATGGCTGCTAGTATATATATATATATATATATTAGTGTTGCAACCTGGGAAGGTTAATGAATAGAATAATTACATGAAGGTTGGTAATGAACGATAATACTTAGGACATGAACAACACGTATAAGATTTGCCAGCAGTGTGTGGAAGAAGTAGTCATCTGCCAGAAATGTGAATTTCACAATGAATCTCCAATTGCAGAACAACATACAGTATTTACTACTGTATTTATAAGAAGGGGGACATACCCTTTATCATCTGTAGGTATACTACAAGAATTAGTAACACAATATTTTAATAAATATTGTAAAATTTAAAAATTAATTGATAATACTATTGCATTAATGGCCGTTTAGGCATCCTTGACAGGAATAGGGGTTTACTTCTTAAATAAGAATTATCTGTCACTTCAGAATTTTATAGATGCATTAGGCATGATACAAAAAAAAAGTTGGAAACCACTGGTTTATAGTAATAAGAGATAAGGTCAGATTTTTAAAAAAATCTACTTACTATTGTAAATATTTTGGGTATGAAACTGAAGCTAGCAGATATGAAGTCATAGAAGTACCATTGAGAGATACATATTCCTTAAATAGGTAAATTTAACTTTCCTCTATCAACATGGCCTCCCGTGGCTAAATTGGTAGTGGCAATATTTTTTCTGATGGAAAGTGGGATACAGGTTCAATTCCTTTTGGGAGGAACAATTTAGTAAAATTTCTTGATTTAGGACAATGGTTATTAATTTCACTGTTTAAGAATATAAAAATCAAGGATAACAACTCAAACATGTGTGTGTATATATAACATAGATAATAAATCAAGGAAAAAGCTTAAAGATCCATTTCGGTGATAATTTATTTTGTGAATATTTTTATATTCATTTCTTCAGACCAAAAGTTCTTAAAATATATATATATATGTGTGTGTGTGTGTTTTTGTAAGATCTTTCACACACATTCATCCAAACTTACAGAACCTAGTATTCCCAAGCGGTCACCAATCTAGGTACTGACCAGGCTTGATGTTGCTTAACTTCAGTGATTGTATGGAACTGGTGTTTCAATGTCATAAGCCCAAAGCCAAGAAATTAAGTTTCATTCATGTGTTAATGCACTTGATTATTTCTTTTTTTAATGTAATGAAATCAAATAAATCTATTTGAGAGTTGATGGCTCTTACGGAAGGAAGCAGTTGTTGCTCTCCAAGAACAGAAAGGTTCTCTTTAAATACTAAAATTTTTACCCAATACAAGAATTCAAAGCCATTCATGGTAGAGGGTTACTATTAAAATGGTAATGATGAAGAATGTGTGTGATATAAAAGAAATGGTGGTAGAAAGTGAAGATTATGAGAATAAAGAAGATCATAAAGATTGACCCTTGATTTGAAGAGGTTAAGATTAAAGTGCTTAAGGGAGAGAACATGAAATTGACAGTTCTTTAGCTGTTTGAGTGGAAATTTGGAATACTAATGAAATGAGGAAGATTCAAATCTGTGGAAGTAGCATGTCATACCCGAGCTGTAAAAGGCTGCACTAGTGAGACTAAAGAATGGTACTTGTCAGAATAGAAAGAACATGAGAGTAGCAACTTGCAACTATGTGTCTGTGGGGAAACAGGCTGTAGAGTGGAAAATAAGTTTTCACTTACAAGACTGCGTAAAAGATTTTGAACTCTATCAAGGCTAAAAATTGGGGATTAAGTATCTCCAGCCCATTTTTTTTAAATCACCCCATGCAAGGAAGTAAAGCCACTAAGACACAAGGTGTTACTGGGTGTGGAAGAAATAGGAAACATTAATAATGAGTGGGAAGAGAAAAAATTGTAATCCGGAAGACGGAAGATAGTGATTGACATTGCATTTAAATTTTTGTAGATTGAAGTTGGCTTGAAAGCATGGTGATGTGAGTTCCACAAACAAGAAGTATGAGAAAAGAAACTTAATACAGAACTTATGGCTCCACGTAGCCAGCACAACTGTAAATTGATGGAACCTCAATGCCAATCTAGTACTGTGCTTAAATTCAAAAAGTCTAGGTACCATTGTAAAGAGCTCCTCTGGAAAATTACCATGAAAATATTTATAGAAAAGGCAAATGGAGGCAACCCTATAGTGATAGGAAAGTGACTGAAGTAATGCTACCAGATCAGGACCAATAAATTTGCTGATTCTTCTTTGGATTTTATCAAGGAGCTCAAAGGAAAATAGCAGGGGCACCAGACTATATGTGGCAGCAATATTCTATGCATGAGCAAATGAGAGACTTATAGATATGTAAGATAGATTCTGGAGAGAAAAATTATCTCACATGATACAGTGAACTTAGCAGCTGACCTAGCAATACATTCAGTATAGTCTTTCCACTTGATGTCAGCTGAGAATGTTAACCTGAGAAAGTTCTATGAATCACTTTCCTGGAGGTTAACATGGCAGCAATACTAGATTTTTAGTCTAATTTGATTTTTGTAAAATTAGATAAAAAAAAAATTCAGATATCCTGAATCCAAGCTGTAAAAATCTGAACTTGTGGGAGGGAAAGAATGATACTCATCAGAATATTTGCCATAGAAAGAACAAAAGAGTAGTATTATATATTGTATCTATGAACACTAATGGATATGTCCCACTCCTCATAAATACATTGGATGCTATTGTAAGTGGGGGTAATATGCTGTCTAAGTAGTCCACCACTAGCAGTAGTCTACCTACTTCACACCACTGACGAGTTTTGTATTTTGTTGATGTTATAAAGATTACCATTTCATTTCCAACCTCCATTTTGGTTATTCCTCATTCAGTAACTTTTCTAGGTTACAACAAGTAGTAACTTGCAACTTTGTGTCTGTAGGGAAAGAGGTTGTAGTGTAGAAAGTAAGTTTTCCCTTACAAGAGTGCATAAATGATTACGAACTCTATCAAGGTCAAAAATTGGGGATTGTGGATTTCCAGCCTAGATAATGACAGTAATATTGAATTTTTGGTCTAATCTGATTCTTTTAAAACTCGATAAAAGTACTTTGGATATCTTGAATTGTTGACCAAAATCAAAAAAAAAATAAAGAAAGATCAGCAGTCAAATTCACTGTTATCTGAATGAAAAAAAAAAGCCCTCAAATCAAGAAAATTGGTCAAAATGGCTTTGACTGACAGGAAGCTGACAAACATTTCTTTGTTGGAGCTTTCTTGTACAAACCCTATGAATGATGCCAAATTCCTTGAGAGACTTCCTGGTGTTATGTCTGGAGACAGTTTTTCCTTCAATGAAAATAAAATGTTTGGATGAAGATGTAACTCTCAGCTTCCTGTCAGTAGAAGCCGTTTTGGCTAGATATCTCTTCTCTGCTGATTGATTTCTTTTTTTACAGTTTATCAGCCCTTTGTAGGTTATTTCAAGCTGAAATATATTTAGGTTTCTAGGAATAATACTTCTTTGACAGTGAATATTGCATTAACAATTTTTTGAGAATAACAATGATTTTTCCAGCTACAACTCCAACTATTTAATCCATAGCTGAGGAGACAACATGGATTTGTATCTTTCCCAAGTGTATTTCAGTGTCAGTGAATGTAATGAACATGGTTTCTCTGTTGAACGGAGAGAAGAAAAATCAAAGTTCAATTTTCTTTCTAACTGAAGTTGTATATCTTAATTCAGGCTTTTTGAACTGAAGGTGTATATCCAGTAAATATATCTGTTGTAACCTAGGGAAGGTTACTGAATAGAATAATCACATGGAGGTTGGTAATGAACGATAATACATAGGACAAGAACAACACACAAGATTCACCAGCAGTGTATAAAAGAAGTAGTCAACTGAATTCCACAATGAATCTCCAGCTGCAGACCAACATACAGTATTTACTACTGTATTTATGTGAATGGGAACATACCCATTATTGTCCTTAGGTATTCTACACAATATCCTAATTCAGATTTTCCTTAAAGTTTTTGAACTGAAGGTCTGTAATGTAATCGATCCTGACCTGGCATCTCAACTTCAGTCACTTTTCCACAGATATAGCATGACTTCCCTCTATCTTTTCTACAAATATTTTTATGGCAACTGTTCTGAAGAGTTATTTTTCTTAGTTTTGCTTACTCTATTTATTGCCATATCAATTCCTTATGAGTCATTTAATGCCAAAATTTTATTCTATTGTGAGCTTTGGTAATTTTTTTTTCCCAAAATGTATTGCCATTATTTTTTTTTTACTAATCAGATGTGTTGCTGGTAATTTTTTCTAAAGCGATTTTTATATTTTCATGTTTTGACCTCAGTTTAGGGGTTCATTAATTGCTTATACTGGCAGGTGCTACCACCCTGGATCAGGGTGGGCCTGCGAACAACAGCAATTAAGAGGTGGTTCCACAATCCTCAAAACCTCCTCATCAGGGGCTTTACTGCTGGATTCCAAAATTTAAATGCAATATCAATCGTCATCTGTCTTCATAAAACCCTTTATTGTCCTTTTCCTCATTTCTCCTCATTAAAGTCTTCTCATTCTGTTTCACTCTCTGTAACCTAGTGAGATTATTGCCTTACTTGGGACAAAATGGTTAAAACAAATACCTTAATTCAGCATTTCTTTAAAGTTTTTGTTATATTTGAAAATAACAGAAAAATAATAATAGCTGTTCACAATGGTACCTAGACTTTTTGAACTGAAGCACAGTACTAGACTGGCATCAAGATCCCATCAGTTTACAGATGAGCTGGCTAGATGTAACCATAAATTTTATGCTAACAGTTTCTGTTTGAGTATTTCTCGATTTTGGAACTCCCTTTTGGCTCCATGCTTCCTAGCTAATCTGCAAAAATTTAAATGCAATGTCAGTCACTATCTCCTGCCCTCTTGATTACTTTCTCTTCCTGCAGATAAATAATATTGAAAAACTCTTGGAATGATAATTACCCTTCTCAGAATTAAAAGCATTACGTTTGTATACATGCATAGCCAGAAAATGGATTATATGAGACGTTATGCAAAAAAAAAAAAAAATCAAAGAATAAAAAACTCTTGGAATGACAATTATCCTTCTCAGAATTATAAGTGGTATGTCGGATGCATGAAAATAGCCACAGAATGGATTATCTGAGGTGTTATACAAAAAAACAAAAAAAAAACAAAAAACAAACAAAAACAAACAAACAAAAACAAAAAAAAACATAATTCAAAGAATGAATTCAATTGACTGAAAAACTCTTGTAATGATAATTACCCTTCTCATAATTATAGATGGAATCTTTGTATACTTGAAGATAACCAGAGAATGGATTATCTTAAACCTGATGCAGACAATAAAACCCCAAAGAATGAATTTCAACTGAGTGAATAACCCCTGGAATGATAATGACTTTTCTCAGAATTATAGACAGTATCTTTGTATATCTGAAGATAGCAAGAGATTAGATTGACTGAAACATTATGCAAACAAGTAATGAATTCAATTGACTGAAAAACTCTTGAAATAAAGATTCAGCATTTTAAATGGTTCTACAGCAATGCAGACAATTCTAAGTGAATTCTTGCTAGAAATCCTGCTTGTAACCAACAAGTAAACTATACTTTCACACTCGTGGCACAGATCAATAAAGATTTCATGGTTCCACATGCCAACATTGTGAAGGATTGAATGCTGGAGAACTTACACAGAACTAATGCCCAGTTCAATTGGACACTGACATGCAGATGGGAATTATGTTGCCTATAACAAAGGCCATGAAGCATAAAGATGGAAAATGATACAGGAGGAAAGAGAAATGAAGAGTAACATAGAGTAACAGATAGTAAAGAAAGAGAAATATGGTAAATGAAGGGAAAAAGAAATAAAAGAGGCAACTGAGGTAGAGGGTGGGGGAGAAAGACAGAAAGAAAATCAGGTAAAAAAAAAAAAGAGAAAAAAACTGGGAACAGAAAGAGTGCAAAAAATAAAAGAAAATGTGGTCCATCATGTCACAAGTAGAAAATTAGGAAGAACAAAAAAAATAAATAAATAAAAAAAAAAAAAAAAAAAAAAAAAAAAAAAAAAGGAAAAAATGTCAAAAGAAAAGAGTAGTAAAAAGAAATATTGAAATAAAAATAAAAATAGGAAGTAGGAAATATCTGTTTTGAAAGTCATGTCCCTTCAGGATGCAGTTTATCATGGCTCTCCACAGCATCCTTTTTTTTAGTAAATATTAGTAAACATTAAATTTTTTCAATTCTTCTCATGAAAAGTTTTTGATTCATTCATTTTTTACAGCTTATCAACCCATTGCAGGTTATTTAAAGACAGAAAATATTTTTAGATTCTAAGAATTTTTTTGAGATAATAATGCCATAGTGATCCAAGTTATACTAATTAATCCATAGCTGCGGGGAGAAGTGGAAATTCATACTTTTCCCAAGGGTATTTGCACGTAAATGAATATAACGAACCCAGTAGAAACTGGAACTCAGTTCCCCGATTAACAATTCCGAGCCATTATTCATTACACCATCTGCATATCCAATCTTACAGCACTTGGTATTCCCAAGTGGTCACCAATCTAGGTACTGACCAGGCTCAACTTTGCTTAATTTTGGTGATCATATGGGAACCAATGTTTCAATGTGATGTAGTCGTAAGCCTCAGGAAAAGTAGCAGATTTTTTTCTCATTGCCTCTTCCACGGTTTTGAATTCAGAATCTTACTCTCCTAAATTGGTTTCCCAACCACTCAGCCTGCTTTAGTATATGACACACAGCTGGGGACTAGAAACAAATTCATACCAGAAGAGAATTAGCATGAAGCATAACAGCTTTGGCTGAAATTTGAACTTGGCCTGCATATTCCATTTTATGTACTGATAACCATTGTACCACCTACACATGCACATTGTAAAGAATACAAGACTAAAATGCAAGAGGAAATAAGAGACATATTATATTATAAAGAATGGAAGAGTCAGGTAAAAGAAAAAAAATGAAATAAAAATAAAGAGTAAAGGACGTAGAGAAACATATGACGATAGTGGTTGGTTGGCAAGAGACAGATTTTTTTCTGCAGATAAAAAACTGTACACAAACAGAATCAAAATTTCAAGCATATTTTTTGTTTTAAATTCAGCCATCTTTTTTTTTTTTTTACTTTTTGAAATTTCCTGTTTTTTTCTTTGAATTCATAAAACTTTGCAGTGATTTTCTTTGAAACTGTCTCAACTGAAATAACTTCTCTGGGTTTTCCATGCCATTTTCTAATTTTTTTTTCTCAGTTTAACTCTCTTCTTTATTTGTCTCATGAAGCCTGTTCACTTTGAATATCACAAGAACTGGTTGCAGGAAGTAGTAAACCACCTATATTCCTTCTGTATTCCATCGGCAAGAAGTAAGTTGTACTCTTCTTTGTGCAAACCACTGCCCTGAGTAACAGACTCCCAAAAGAATGTTTTCCCAATCTCTACAATCTTAACCTGTTCAAGTCTGGAGTTAACCATTATCTTTCCCTCCTATCCATATAAACTACCCTTAATGTAGCACTCTACTTTGAGTGATCCCAGGAATTATACAGGGTGAACCTTAATGTAAAAAAAAAAAAAATACCCTTACTACACAGGCAATTATTCAAAAACTAGCAGCAAGATTCTATGGAGTGAACTTGTGTGACTAGGTAAGGGTGGCTCTTTGATGATTCCCAGGATCACTTCCTGATCTATATAGCATTAAAATAAGAACTGTGTTCACAAGTGAAAGGGATACAGTCAAGTGATTGTAGTGTTCTGACTTCAAAACAAGAATGAACAAAAATATGGTGGATGAGACAAAGTGGTCCATTTTATTGGTTAAGAAGAAATCCCAGCATGCATCTGTATGATTTGTCTATAAATATGAGGTGGGGATGTTTTTAGCAAACATTCTTTAGATGCCTGAATATACTGTGGCCTTGATGCTCCATAGCCACTACTAATGTTTCTATCTTAGAGGACTGTATAGCAAAACATTTACCTCAATCAGTACTGTGCACAATCACAGCAAAAGTGTCCTGGAAAATGAAAAAAAGCTTCTAGTGAATCTACCAGTTCTGGAAAATCACAAACACAACATTCTATTGTGGAAAACCATTTGTGCATTCCATTACAAATGACCCTGAGTGTATCGCATCCTCATTGTATAAGGCTAAGTGGTATGATATTTGTCCTCCTGTATGGCAGTGAATGCTGGACAATCTCCTCAAAGATGAAGAAGTGACTTGAAGCAACAGAAATGTGATGCTACATAAGGATGCTGACGATGCCGTGGACTGAATATGTGAGTAATTACGATATTTTGAAGAAAATGGAAACTTATATTTAACATCAAGAAGAGGCAGTTGAAATTTCTGGGGCACATAATGAGGAAGGACGATTTGGAAAATCTGATACTCACAGGGCAGTTTGGTTTGTTTTATGGCATATCAACCTCAGCATTGCTGTGAGTATCAGATTTTCCAAAGGAACAGGAAGATGTAGAGGGCCATGATCATCTATGTCTTGAAGTGACATGATACATAAAAGAAGATATGTTGGGAAAAGAGATTTGAATCCTAGATGTGAAGGCAATCTAGAAGAATTGCAGGATGATATAACAACAACATGGGACTACATTTTGAAAGAGTTCAGTCAGAACATCATTAGATACATACCCCACCAAAAAATATCCAATGTTTAAGATAAAATGGGTCCAAACCAGTACTAAAATTATATACTAAATAAAGAGAGTGGTGAATATATATATATATATATACATACACACACATTAATGAACTCTCCTGTCATTTTCAACATATGATGGTCAAGCAGCTCAGTTCTGAGAACCAACAGCCAGACTACCCACACATATCATCTGCTTATAGTGGTGAAGGTTCATGCTGAACTAACGACACTTTTTCAAAGAGCCAAATACAGAGAACTAGTGCACAGTATGTCACAAGGTCCCCAAGTGACCCTCCACAATATACATAAAAAAAGGAAAAAGGAAACAAGCATGGTCAGGATTGTTGAATCAATGTGAACAGGCCTTTCCTTAGCTGCATAGCATGTGCTTTGCCAGGGCTACATAGAATTTTGAATTCAGAGCTTTTCTTTTTCTAGACTGGTTGAACCCAGTCTGTCCTGCTATTTATCCATAGCTGGAGAGGGAAGACATGGATTCATAACTTTCTCATGGAAATGAAGTGCAATTGGAATTTGAACTTGGCTCTGATTTCTTAATCTGAGGTGCAATCTGCTGTGTCTCTCATATATATATATATATATATATATATATATATATATATATATGTCTATATTTCTGAGATGAGGTATTATGTACACATTACATTATTCGGACTATTGTCCTCATCTTTGTAGCCATATTTATCACAACGTTTTTGTTGTTGTATGCTCCTTAAGGACACATGGCACAGTGGATAAAGGCATCAATTAGATCCAGTGACAGGACCCAAAGTGTGTGAGTTCAATAACTGGTTAAGGTGGTGGAGAACTTGGAGAGGGGAATTAACAGAAGATAACTGATAACTGACATCTACTAGACATGGCACATGGAACTAGAACAGTCTACCCAGCAAGTGAAATAAATGGTTTAGTTCGACATTCCAATGACCTGAAGAAGGCCGGAGAGTACAATGGCTGAAGCATTGTGATATATGACTACAATAGTCTGAATAATGGTGAGTGATCAGAATGCAAAAGACCCTGTACATGTTGCATTAAAAATATTTTGGGAATTAACAATAATTTTTTCAGAAAGACACGCTACTATTTAACCCATAGCTGAGAGGAGAAGAGATGCATTTATATATTTAACAAGAGTATTTACATGCATAAGAAAATGCAACAGACTCAACTAGGATTTGAACATGGCTCTCTAATTTCTTGTTTTGAATTGCATATCCGATGTACACCAGTGCCATTATTATTATTATTAATTTTTCCTTTTTTTTGCCCCATTTTTCATGTGAAGAATTCTTAATATCATCATTTTATGTGCCGTGTTCCTTCAGGATATTGGATATGATGGTTCACCACATCCTTTGTTTCTACACTAGCAAGAGCCTCATTTTTGATACAGTTTTCATGTCAAGAATTCTTAGTATATTCTTTTACATGCCATGCCCTTTCAAGACATGGCAGATCATGGCTCACCATAAATTCCAATCTTTTGTTTCTCTACTAGCAAGATGGCTCATTTTTTATACAGTTTTCATGTCAAGAATTCTTAGTATATTCTTTTACATGTCATGTCCTTTCAAGGCATGGGAGATCATGGCTCACCACAAATTCCAATTTTTTCTTTCTACACTAGCCAGTTCATTTTTTATATAGTCTGTCCATTTTATTCTTTTCTCTTCTGTAGAAATAATTTCAGTGCTATTATTCTGGATTGTTATTCCTTGAATCTTCAATTCTATTTTCTTGGCAAAATTCTCTGGAATATTCTCATGTCATGGAATTATTATCATCACTGATTAGTTTTTTTTTTTCATTTTCCCCTTTTTTATTTCATAATAAGAATTCTTTGTATCTTCTTATTTTATGTGTGGTCTCTCTTCAGGACATGAGTGATCATGGCTCTCCACGCTTTTTTTTCATAGCCAGTATTCTTGATCAAATTATCTTGCAACCAAATAAATGAAATTAAGGTTCTTTTATCACCAGACAAGAACTTGTAGTTTGTAATAATGATGTGGACATTTATGGCCAAGGACAAAATGAAAATGTTTCATGTAATTTGTTTTTAATCATATTCACCCCTTGCAAGGTAGTAAAGCCACTGAGAAGCGGCTACTGGGTGTTAGAAACAGAATCATTGCAGAGGAGTGAGAACAATAGAAGAGTAATCAGGAGGACAGTAGATAGTGATTGACACTGCATTAAATTTTTGCAGATTCAAGTTGGCTTGAAAGCATGGAGCTAGATAAGAGTTCCACAAGTGAGAAGTGTGAGAAAAGAAAGTTTTAGCACAGAACTTATGGTTAAAATTAGTCATTTCAACTGTAAATTGTTGAGACCTTGTTACTGATCTAGTATTGTGCTTAAATTCAAAGTGTCTAGGTGCCATAGGAAAGAGCTCATCTGAACAATTACCATGGAAGTATTTATAGAAAAGGCAGAGAGAGGTGGTGGGAAAAGTGACTGAGCTAAGATGCCAGAGCAGGGCCAATAATATTACTGATTCTTTGAATTTTATCAAGGTGCTCTAGATAAATAGTAGAAGCACTGGATTATATGTGGCAGCAATATTCTAAGAGTATAGATGAATCATATATATATATATATATATATATATATATATATATATAAAATGAAGTTATTTTGTAATCTGTATGGATAATTCCAAGTAGGAATCCAGAGACCTCAATGTAAAAGCAGAGCAAATATTAATTATATTAAGAAACAGACAACTTTAAATGGTTCATGGGATTATAATTTATTTCCTTAGGATTTTGGTCCTAATTCATCAGATCTCCATTTTTATACAAAAATATTGGTGACTAATTTTTCCAAGCTTAAAAACTTACAAATTATTATTTTTAAACTATGCACAACTATGTTTGAGGAAGCAGTTTTAAGTTAGTATAAGGTGATGGAGAGAGGGGAAGGAGGAAGA